CCTCTCCGATCGGGATTCGATCCCTCGCCGCCAATGCACGTGAATGCAAGACGGCCGCTCTACCACTCGTACAACGACCCACTCAAAAGGAGTGAGCAACTAGGCGCTTACTAGCATCCATAGACATTACCTACCTACTCATACATGAGTAAGGATAGCGAAGTTTCACACTCACTCCCCGTGGGCACTCGGTATTTATGGACAGAGCAGGACAAATCACAAATCAGATAACCTGAGGTGCATTCTATGAAAGATGGAATAATGCAATACCGCATTTTTATCATGAACATTATAACCTCTCCGATCGGTATTGCATTATTCCATCTTTCATATATATATGTATGTGTGTGTGTGTGTGTGTGTGTGTGTGTATGTGTATTTATACACATGATATATATATATATATATATATATATATATATATATAATATATATATATATATATATATATATATATATATATATATATATATATATATATATATATATATATATATATATATATATATATATATATATATATATATATATATATATATATATATTATATATATATATATATATAATATATTATATATATATATAATATATAAATATATATATATATATATATATATATATATATGAACACCACACACCCACGAATAAGTGTGTATAAATATATATATATATATATATATATATATATAATATATGTATATATATATACATATATATGTATATATATATAAATATATATATATATATATATATGCATATATATATATATATACATATATATATATATATATATATATATATATATATATATATATATATATATATATATGGTGTATAAATACACACACACACAGACACACACACACACACATACACACACACACACACACAACACACACACACACACACACACACACACACACACATATATATATATATATATATTATATATATATATATATATATTCATGTGTATAAATACACACACACACACACAACACACACACACACACACACACACACACACACACACAACACACACATAATTATATGTATATATATATATACATGGATAGATAGATGAATAGATAGATAGATGGATATATATGAATATATATATATATATAATTAATATATATATATATATATATTATATTTACATATATATATATACATATATATACCTATATCTACATATCTCTCTCTCTCACACACACACATACACGCACACGCACACGCACACGCACACACACGCAAATACAAGTAAATATTTCTGGAACGTCAATACAAGTATATTTTGTCTGGAATGTTGTTCACCTCTTCCGAAAGAATTGGATAGTTGTCGCTTCCTTTTAAGTCTTCCATGACCTGGCAGGTGAAATTCTGCTGTGCACTAAATAAACCAACTAACAGGTCAATATTGGAGAATGTCCCAATTTGAATTTGGAAATGTGTGGATGTGTGACCGTTCAGAAAAACTGCATCTACTCTTAAAAATAAGGACTCTAAGGGCCTTCCTCGCGGGTTTCATATAGTGTTTCCCCAGAGGTGAGGCCAGCCACTGAAATCTCCCAAGAGTAGAAATAGATGTGGCAACTAGATCTTCCAAATAATGTCGAGATTATGTGGAGGAAGGTATATGGATGCAACAGTGTAAGGTCGTGTAAAGGCTGACCTCACAGCCTTCACCTGTCGTGCTGCCTGCGGGTGGATGGCCCGGAAGCGATTATCCTGACGCATCATCATTACTACTCCTCCATGAGATCCATTATCAAAGGCCCCATAATGGGCTTGAACTTGGAATCCTCTCAGGGATACCGGACAATTTTCCCTGGTCATAATCTCTTATAAGCATACAATAACAATCAATATTAAACATCGAATGCTGTATATTGGAAAATATAAAGCATTGTATACCACAATCTGCGATGCCACTGTAGACCTTGATGTAGGTTGAATTTTGCATTTTTTGTTCTTGACTCCATAGGATGTGGTCGGCAAAATTTGAAAATAGTTTAAAAAATGGCCTTTTCACATTTTACACTTAGTGGATATTTTCAGACAGTTTGACAGTTCACTAATATTAGGTCCATTTTCATGTGAAGTCCCATGTATGATTTGTCAAAGAGATTCTAGTAAGAAAAAATCACAAATGACAACAAACAAGTACATATGATTTGGATCACCAAGGGGGCGAATATTTGTTCAAGTATATGCAAGAAAAAAAGTAAATAAATGTAAAATAAAGGGAGAGAGAAAGAATGGAAAGCATAAACACTGATATCGTTTGCCACCTCGACCTTCCCCCTCCACCCCGGAGCGCGCACGTATATAACTCAATTTGCAGTATATGTATTTTATTGTTGATTTAGCAAACATGCATAAGCAAAAGGCATGCAGATTGCTTTCATCCCGAATGCAATAAAGTCCTGGAACACCCAATGTCACTTGCAAGAGCAAATCATATGCAATATTAAACTAATATTTTGTTCATAGTCCATGAAACATGAACTGAATTTGTAATAAACAGCAAAAGTAATTATTTGTGTCTACAAAGCGAAATAACTGAGTAAATATGGAAGGGGCTCAGAACATTTATAAATAAAAAAAAAAAAAAAAAAAAAATGATATAAGGACCAATAACGAGCTCTCTACAAAGGTGATGATGATGATAATAATGATAATGATAATGATGATGACGTTAATGATAACGATAATGATAAAGATGACGTGAGAGCAGTGCGGACACCTGCTTCAGGTTCAAAGGGACACTCAGCGACTGGAGACTGATGCTAGAAGCGCCACTGTCGGATCTTGTTTATATCAATGTTATCTTTAATATCATTACTATTGTACAGCAAACTCTGGACCATGAAACTTATTCAAACAACGCATTGGAACATGATTTATTACCCAAAGATATAATCCTGACACATAAGTACAGTGTTAGCATAAAAAGATACATTATTCATAAATTTGTTGATGATAATAATTTAGTTACAAATCCATTTACTATCAGTGATTTATATAAACTGTGATGGGATACACAATTTCACCAACATAACTCAAAATCAGTAGCAACTCGAGGTGTCATGGGCTCTATTTATTTTGATGACGTCACAAAAGTTATGGATGCTTTGTGAATATGGTCAATCATTTTGGTCTTTTCAAATTCCAAAAAGGATAGGAAATAATGATTGAATTGGATATATTTTCATTGGATAATCATCAAAATATCCCATGGTCAATCATTTTGGTCTTTTTAAATTTCAAAAAGGATGGAAGATAATAATTGAATTGGATATATTTTCATTGAATAATCAGTAATCAGTATACTCTTAGAACTCTCATAACTATTTACATCATCATTTTAGGAAAGTACAATATATAAGCTAAAACATAAAACATACAATATACAAGCTAAAAACATTGCTCGAAAATACTGGTATCGCACATACAGCGAAGTGTCATGAAAATATATTTCTTTTTGTCGAGAGTCGAAATACCTTGCATGTTAATGCTTAATATATTTAGGTAATTTTTTGTTGCTATATGTTCACTGTAACAGCCGATTAATGAATGTAGGTAGGGGAAAGAGAAAATAAGCGGAGAATAAATATCTAGAGAAAAACATGACTGAATAGAGAGAGAGAGAGAGAGAGAGAGAGAGAGAGAGAGAGAGAGAGAGAGAGAGAGAGAGAAAGAGAGAGAGTCAAAGACAAAACACTTATTCCATTATTTTATTTCTTTGTACATAATAGACATTGACAGTGCACAGTAACACAAAATAAATAGAAATAATATAAAGTTCATTAGTAGGGGAATTATGGAATAAGATAAAATCTATTTGGCTTTGCATTAAAATGTTTGATGCCAATGGCAATTCAAAAGAATGCTCCTTTAATTTCATTTTGAAAGTAATGATGCTGAAGATATTTCAATTTGTGGAAGATTAATCCAGATATTGGGTCTTCGGATTTGCATTTGTCTTGACCTTGTTTCTGTGTATGACCTTTTGATGTGCAGAGTTGATATGTCTGGTTTGAATACCTGATTTGTTACTAGTTCTTTGTAGAGGCATAAACCAATGAATTTATGAGCGTGTATGGATGTGCCATATTAACATTTTTGTTGAGAGTTTAATCAATTTCGTATAGGGGTTATGTGGTCATGTTTATTCATATTGCCGAGAGAGAAGAAAGTAAATGAAAGAGAGAGTGGGGAAGGGAGAGAGAGGTTATATCATGTTTCTTTACATTGCCGAGAGAAAGAGAAAGGGGGGAGTGGGGGAGAGAAAGGGGGGAGGGGGGGGGAGTGAGAGAGAGGGAGAGAGCGCGCTCGATTATATACACGTTCAGGATGCGATTCCCACACAGATGTTGGACAGTTTCTCTGCACCTTTTGCGCCTGGCAGCGACATACCCGCCAGACAATCAACAACCTGAGACGTCACTCCCCCAAAGTCCTGATGTCCCGTGTTTAAGGGAAAGAAGATGACGCCCATAAATTCGTTAATATACCCAGGCTAGGTTACCAATTTCAAAAACATAATTTGAATTTGAGTAATGATTTATGTTTAATCATACTCTATTTATATATCAGAAAAAAATCTAATCTTCATACTCATCACATCGTTTATTAAGTTTCTAAATAAGAATTTATTTTAATCAATAGAGAAACACACTTCATTAACTTCTAAAGATGAAGCTCAGTACCGGCCATAAAACTCGACATTACCGGTAACTTCTGTAATCTATATCAATACTAAAGTTACTCTCATATAAGTTATGAATTCTCATGTACTGAATGATGAAAAAGAATAACATGCGCATAACATTGCATCTCATCCGGTGACCATTTATCAATATAATCTACATGGATTCCTGTATAATTATTACGATCATTTAGAAGGAATATTACATACCTTCCCAAGGGTCTCCACGTTTAGTATTTTTTCTCCTTTTATTTCACAAATGAAGCGGAAAGGATAGAGTAGGGTC